TTCTGGCTATTACAAATAGTGCTGCTATGAACATAGTAGAACAAATGCTTTTGTAGTATGTTAGGGAATCTTTAGGGTATATTCCCAAGAGTGGAATTGCTGGGTCCTGAGGGAGGTTGACTCCCAGTTTCCTGAGAAACCGCCACACTGATTTCCACAGTGGCTGCACGAGTTTGCATTCCCACCAACAATGGATGAGTGTTCCCCTCACCCCACATCCTCTCCAGCATAGGCTATCGTTGGTGTTTTTGACTTTAGCTATTCTGACAGGTGTAAGATGGTATCTCAAAGTGGTTTTGATTTGCATTTCCCTGATCGCTAAGGAGGTTGAGCATGACCTTAAGTGTCTTCAGGCCATTCGAAGTTCATCTGTTGTGAATTCTCTGTTAAGTTCAGTACCCCATTTTTTAATTGGGTTAATTAGAGTTTTAGTGCCTAGTTTCTTGAGTTCTTTGTATATTTTGGAGATCAGACCTTTGTCTGATGAGGGGTTGGTGAAGATCTTCTCCCAGTCAGAAGGCAGCCTTTTTGTCCTACTGACAGTGTCCTTTGCTTTACAGAAGCTTCTCAGTTTCAATAGATCCCATTTATTCATTGTTTCTCTTATTGTCTGTGCTGCTGGGGTCCTACTTAGGAAGAGGCCTCCTGTGCCTATATCTTGTAGACTACTTCCCACTTTCTCTTCTATCAGGTTCAAAGTGGACGGATTAATGTTGATGTCTTTAATCCATTTGGACTTGATTTTTGTGCATGGTGATAGATATGGATCTACTTTCATTTTTTTACAGGTTGACATCCAGTTATGCCAGCACCATTTTCAAAACTAATTCTTATGACTTAGTAACAGATCCAGCAAAGCACAATTTGGGACAGCAGTTGGAATTAGCGGAGTTCTCTATCGGGGATCTATAAATTACCTTTTATAATCAGAAAATTGACTGCTCTATCAAACTGAATGTCAAGTAAGAATATTTTTCCTAGTTTTGTGAAAATATTTAAATCAAGTAAGTATCTCATACTTTTAATCTTATTTTCTCCCTGTTTTTTTATGAAAAATATAAAGAAAACGGTATAAGGGTTCAGTATTATAAGCTCATCTACTTGAAATCTAAAAAGATCTAAAAGATTTCTAAAAAGAAGGGAAACAAATAAGCCAAGAGTGAGGCTGGTAGCACAGCTCAGAGACAAAGCACTAGCCAAGGACATGAGGAGGCCCCACAGCCAATGTCCAGAAGATTAACAGCAATGTTCCACATGAACTCAATTTCAGTTCTCAGATCTGAATATAAAATAAACTTGTTTACCTCTGCACATGCAAAGTTGATTGTTTTATGAGTTTGGGAGTTCAAATTTAGAAATATGTCCCAGACTAAATGCTAAACCAAAACCTTAAATTTCTTTTTCTATATCCCATTTTCTCCTATCATATTGTATCAGCTTTAACTTCCAAAACATTTCTAAGTTATTTATTAACTTCTGGTGTTACTGAGCAGCCCAATCCACCTTTATCTTTGGATAAATTTACGAAACCAAGCATGGTGGTGTAGGTCTTTAATCACAGCACTCAGGAGGCAAAAACAATCAATCTCTATGAGTTTGAGGCCAGCCTGGTGTACACAGTGAGTTCCAGGCCAGCTACTGCCACACAGTGAGACCTAGTCTCAAAAGAAAGACAAAAGAACTTACATAGCAGTTTCCCAAGTATTGTATTTTGTCCTCTCCTCTTACCAATCCTCACGACAGCACGTAAGTGACCCTCTAAATGTAATTTCCATCATGCCATTCTTCCACAACAGAAGCTTCCCATTCCACCTGCTATGAGATGCTTCCTCCCAGCTTTGACTGCCCATGATCTGGAACTTGCCTGATTCTCCAAGCTCATTTCACAGCATTTTCCTCTCCGTCACACATCCCAAATACGCTGCTTCTCTGCCCTCACAGAAGGTATCTATTCAGGTTCAGTCTACACATTTCTGTTTTCTAGTTAGAAACATCGTCCCGCAACTAGCAGACTTTGTTTTTTTTTTTAAATGTAAAGTATACACTGATGAAAAAATTCAAACACTACCAGAAAACATGGAATAAAAGAACTACCTAAAATTCTACCATTAGAAAGAATTACACTAAGATTCTGGAAATAATCCCTTATATGTAACTTTGTAGGTCTATGTGCCACTATATGCTATATATAGTCTTCACAAATTTCAACTTGTTCTATACTTGTTCTTCAATTCAAACACCACTTCCTAAAGAAGGCCTCCCAGGACCTTTCTCAAGAAATCTATTTTTTTTTAATCACATCATTTGACTTCCTTCATTGCACATATTTCTCTCCAAATTAACTATGTCTTTGTTAACTTCTACCTTTTATCTATCAATCACAGATGAACTCAGGTTCCATGAGAGCAGAATCTCCACTACTTTTCCCATCACTACGGTTTAGACCACTACCTAACACATTGCAGATGACTAACATTTATAAAGAGCTTCACATCTGTTAGCAAATGTTCTACTAATAAGTTGTAGCTTCCCAACACCTTTGTAATTTCTGAGACAGGGTCTTAGTAGGTTGCACATCCCCCTATAGTCTAGGCAGGCCTTGACCTTGTGATCGTCCTGCTGCAGCCCCCCAAGCAGCTGGGACTAAAAGTCTGACTTCACTAAACATCTACTGAATTTTCTCTAACTTCCGTACTCATACTCAACCAACCATCCGACAGCTCCAATTGGAAAATGAGTGGTCTACCAAACCTTCTCCTACTCATGGTGTTCACTATTTTGATGAATGATAATAATCTCAACCAAACACCCCAAACTAGAAACCTGAATTTTATCCTTGAAATGATTCTTCCTCTTCACCCCATAATCAGCCAATCATCAAATGCCTCTCAATTCTACCTCCTAAATCTCCAACACATCAATTTCATTCAATCCGTCTGCTCTTCTCCCACCCACCCAATACAAATCATTCATCATTTCTCTTTATCAACTGTAATATCCTTCTAGCTTCCTACTCTAGATCCACTCTTACCTCCTTCTAATTTATTAGATCTACGCTCTCAGAGGCTATGATGAAGTGCTGGTTAATCTTGTCAATTTGGCTGGATTTAGAATGACTTAGGAGAAAGACATCTGGACATGTCTAAGAGGCTCACCTAAAGTGGGAAAGCCTATGATGCACATGGACAGACCATGCTCGGGGCTGGGTCCCCAACATAATAAAAAGATAACTGCCCAGTGTAGCAATAGCATTCACTTCATTCTGCTCAAAACTGCACACTCCTACAGTCATAGCTGCAGCTCCTCTCACTGCCATGTCACAGCACATTACACATATCCATTCTGCAAGTATAAAATTCAAACACCAGTTTTACAGGAGTCTGTAGTAGACAACGCCACAGACATCCTTCCTAACACAGTAATCTAGACAAGTGCTGTGAAGGGACTGTGCAGATACAATCACAGTTACTGATTTTAAGTGGGAAACTGTCAGGGATTACCCAGGTAAATCAGAGTCGACCAACAACCTAAGTCTGCAGTTCTCCCGCAGAGACTCCAAATACACTACTGTCTGACCCCTGGAGACTCACTCAGGCCTGGGTCTAAGCAAAGACCCAGTTAATTTGCCTGAGTTTCTGAACTTCAAAGCTCTAATATAATGGATATTGTTCTAAGCTGCTTAACTTGAGAACAATGGAAAACCTAACCAAAACTGTTTCTAGAACCCTGTCCCCAAGCCTGGGTTAGGGCCCCTGTTAAAAATTCCCACAGCATTTTGTATTTCTCTGTCATAACATTAATCATACTGATTCCTTAATATATATAACCTAAAACTTACAGCCAATGATTTTATTTAATTTTTTTCACCATATACTATTATAACCCAATGTCTACACAATTGTTATTCATAAATGTTTACTAATTAAATGAAAAGACTCCTTACTGTTTCCCAAAATCCTCAGTTGAGATACACCTCCCATAAAGTGCCAGATTATGAAATAGCTAAGAAGGAATAATTGGCTGATAGCAATAATTAAAAAGAGAGGCATTAGGATGAAAGATACATACTTGGAGACATTTGGACACTTATTATTTTGGTATTAAAACCCTCCCCACTCATCTCCATACTCCATATATCATGCCCAATGCCTATAGCAGTAATTCTCAGCCTTCCTAAGGCTGTGACCCTTTAATACCACACTTCATGCTGTAGTGACCCCCAAACCATAAAATTATTTTCACTTTTAATTCATAACTACAATTTTTCTGTTAAAAGTCATAATGTAAACATCTGATATGCAGGATATCTATTATGCAACCCCTATGAAAGGGTTATCTGACCTCTGAAGGGGTCAACACCCACAGGTTAAGAACCACTGGCCTACAGGAACTATGGTAGCCTAACAGAAAACTATAAAATATTACTAGCAACTACAGTGCTATCCCTAAGGTATAGTGATATTTTGTTTGTGTTTTAACAAGTAAAAATTGCCTGAAGATCTGAGTGCAGAGCTAAGTAAGTCACTAGAAGCTAGACGGTGGTGGCTCACACCTTTAATCCCAGTATTTGGGAATCCCATATCCTTAATCCCAGCATTAGAGAGGTGGAGACAGGAAGGGATATAGCTGGGCAGAGAGAGGAATACAAGGCGGGAGGAGACAGGAGCTCAGACTGCAGTATGGAAATGTAGTCTGAGGATACACAGGATTGCCCCTTCAGTTTGAGCATTGGTAGAAGTAAGCCGTCTCTCTAGTGGCGGGCTCCCCTGCTACTCTGACTTCTCAGCTTTCACCCCCTAATATCTGACTCTGAATTTTTATTAAGAACAACCCTTTAGGTTATAAAGTAGAAATTATACAATTTAAAAAATGGTTATCAAACTATAAAAATAGTCCAAATTTATTCAATCAGACAATATCTTATAATAAAAAGAGAATGAATATACTAAAATTATCTGATCAGAAAAAGAAAGGATCAACAAAAAGAATACTTTACTTACATAAAAGGAAAAGCAAAGAATGGAAGTGTCATGGCGAGTCTTGCTGTAAATTCATCAGGAAGATACCACAGGTACACGATTAAACATGTAAACAAATAAAGAACTGAAGAATAGATAATTAATCTTCCAACCCATAATTTTTGCAATCTCTGATTTTTTTCTCTAAATTCTTCCAATGCTTCAATTTCCTGTTAAGAGAGAAGTATTCCATATTATAAAATCTCATAAAGCATTGAAAAATTAAAATGAGAGAACTAACATGGCAGAAAGATTATTCAAGAGTCCTAAGAGTAAATGAAATTCAATGTTCTAATATTTCAAAGCAAACATAAGGAAGGAACACTAAAAATGAACTTAAAAACTAAAAAGCCTTTCTCAACAAATTATTTTTAAACTGAAATATTAAATATTATTTTTAATCTATTAAATTAGCAAAGACTGATGAAATGAAACTGATACCCGCAAATACTTGAGTCAAAAAAAAAAAATAGCTCTCCATACATGGTCTTTAGAAATCTGGCAAGAAAAAAAAAAGAATAAAAATTGTAACAATGTAGGGCCAGGATAGTAGTATACACCTTTAATAGTGAAGTAGAGGGAGGCAGATTTCTCTGAACAGAGAGTTCTAGGCCAGACAGGCAGAATAATATTAGAGAGATTGTCTCCAAAAACAAATAAACAACAAAATCAAACCAATGGTTGAAACTCCATCATTCCAGTCTATTCACTACTTCCAATATTCCTAAGAAAAAATACCTTTCAAATAAAAGAAAAATGTCAAAGCTACAGAATTTTTGCTGACTGATAAAAGCTACACAGTAGCCAGCAACCTTTATTATGCTATCTGTTACACTCATTTACACCATGTTAGCTCTAATTGCATTCTATCAGATTCTATTACTTGATACAGGCTTCTTAAGTCACTGAGAGACCAGATTTTTTTTTTTTTGAGATCATGTCACACTAAAGTTCTCAGGATTTCTCTATATTATCTTTAAGTTCCCATATCTCTTCTCTAACATAAAATTACTAAAATAATAAGATAAAATATTAGAGTCAATGAACATACCTTATCTATATTTTCTAGAACTTCGACTGTTGAAGGCTTTGCCTGTTTTAGAAACAGAAATAAGGCATGACATTAGAACTTGTTACTGCAAACTTAGAAACACTTGGCTTTACAGTCATTAGAACATTTTAATTCACAACTAGGTTTCCCAATGTTATCAAGCTATAGTTCTACCTGTTTTAACTACAATAGAAAAATTATAATACCAAACTATACAGTTGGGGGGGTTGTTTTTTCAAGACAAGGTTTCTTTGTACAGGCCTACTTTTCCTGGAAATAGCTCTGTAGACCAGGCGAGTCTTGAACTCACAAAGATCCACTTGCCTCTGCCTCCCAAGTGCTTAGATTATAAGGACTCCGCCTCCACTGTACAGCTAGGATTCTTAAAGTAACATTTTTCCTAAAACTTTCAACTGCGATAGTTCTACATTTACCATTCTTAACCTCAAAAGAACAGACTTTATATAAAGAAATAAATTTTCATCCAAAAGAATTAATATACCAAAATATTCACAGGCTAAAGATAGTTTAATTCAATAAAGCTAAAAGTTCACTCACCTTGGGCTCTGCTAAGTACCACACTGACTGATGCACTGAAGCACAACAAGGTTTTGCAGGTCTGATTCCTAAAGTACACAGTCTGGGGAGAGTGTGCCTGCATGTATGTCTGTACACGACATGCATCCTGGTGCCCACAGAGGTCAGAAGAGGGAGGGCACTGGACCTCCAGGAACTGAAGTTATAAATAGTTGTGAGTGAGGGAAGTTGTATGGCTGCTGAAATTGAGCAACCAGTACCTTAACCTCTGAGCCATCGCTTCAGCCCCAAGTACATAGCTTCGTAAAGATTAGATTTTTAAAGAGTATCTAAGAATAGTTTATAATAGCAGAGATTATTTGCCAAATACATTTTTATATAAGCCAGAATGATCTAAATGACAATTGAGAAAATATTTATCGAGACAGTAACAAATGTCAGTGCTAAGGGCCCTACTAGAGTTCTTTATGTAAGGCTGAACCACACAAAACTGCCATTTTTTATGTCAAAGCAGAATACTGGCAACTTCATATAATCCAACCAAATAAAAACAAAGAGATAATAAAATTCTTAGTCTGTCAGATTTTTAAAGAAAGTAATTTCACACATCACTGGGATGGAGAAGAGCTGATCCCATAGGAGTAGAAAATGAAAAGCTGCCAGTCTAGGGAAACTGGAGGTAGAGCGCTACAGGCTTGAAAGCGTAGGGGTCATAGGATACACAACATCACATAGAAAACATCCTACAGATCCACACAGCATGGAGACTATAGCTTACAGTGCTATACTGTATCTTTCTCAACTTTTTCAAAAAAGCTTATTTCTGTTTTAAGTATGTACATACACATTTATGCCTGTGTGCACTCAATGTGAGTACAGGGGACATGGAAAGCTGGAGGTGCCACATCCCTAAAACTGGAGTTCCAGGCAGTTGTGAATAACCTTTTTAGAGTACTAAGAACTGAACTCAGGCTTTGCAAGAGCAACAGGTGTTCTTAACCCCTTAACCATCTCTCTAGTCCTGATATACCATATTCTTGAAAAATGCTAACAAAGGGAATGTTAATTATGAGCTAAATCTAAATAATATAATGTACACACTTTAAAATATCATGTTGCATATAATAAATACATGCAATTTTACCTGTGAATTTTTAAAAAAGAGGGGGTCAATATAGCACAAATCTAAAACATGGATTAATCTATAAGTCAAAAGTTAAATCACATATCACTAGTCCCTATTATAAGAAATAAGAAAATTAATTTGTCCTAAACTATATAATCTCTTCTTACATTAGAAGAGTATTTAACAATATAATTTATATCTTTAAATTTGAGATACTTTCTCTAAAGGCTTAACTAACAAAATCTTCATTTTTAATTTTGTTCAACCTATAACTCTTAAAAGTGTATTTAGTGTGACATTAGTGAACTTATAAGGCATGCTAAAAAAAAAGACAACACACACAAAAAAATAATTCCTTAAGCCTCAGCACTAGGAAAGCAGAGGCGAGACAAATTTCTGTGAGTTCAAAGCTACACAGTGAAACTCTGTCTTCAAAATAATTAATTAAATAAATAGACAGATAAATAATCAAGCAGATTATGTAGTCTATAAAAGCCATAACTACGGCATAAAACAAATTCAACTACTTTTAGAATAAACTTGGGATTTGAGCAATATAAGAAGAAAACTACTTACATAAAATACACAAATAAAAATTAATTTCTAGAGACATTAGATACCCATAAAATAAACAGAACTACAAAAATAATGTCCAAAGAAGTAACTCTAAATGGAGTTAAATGAGATTAAATATATAGTATCAAACTCACTGAAAAGTAAACCCCAAAGGAGACCTTTACAAAAATCTTTATGTAACATTTTTATGTTAGACTTGAAAACTTGCAATACAGAAAATATGTGTTCTTACCCTCCATCGGGAAAGCAGTCCACCCATCTTTTATTTGTACAAAGTTGGCACAATAATAAATATCATGAGTTGTCCAAAAGAAGTCACAGCTAGAAACAAAGCAAATAGTTTAAAATTTTAAGTTAAATACACAGCACATTTTCTCTAAAACTTTTTTTTTTCTGGAATTTAATTCGTTCTTCAAACTTTAATCATGTCTGCCAACTCCATCACCTGACAATCTTACATCTCTTCATTAGGTGTTGTTCATAATTCATAATGTTTTGTAATTGATACAAGCAACATTGAAATGTTAGAAAATAATGATTAGTGCTGTTGATATATACTTGAGATTTCATTGTTGCTGTCACAACAGCAGAACAGCCCAAAACATAAGGACATACAGAAATCTTAAATACCATAAAGCATCTGTGGGCCTCCACTCAACTGAAACAGGCAGCCACTGGCATATTCAAAGTGAGGACACATTTAAAGGCAAAAATAGAGCTGGACACTTAATGACAAATCACTTTAGAAGTATACACATATCTACAAACTTTCTATTTTTTAAAGTAGTTTCCCTATGTTATTCTTGTGATAAAAGAATGAATCCTTCAATAGTTTGAGCTTTAATTACTTTGCTAATTAAAGTAAATATATTAATAGTTTGTCACAGTACAGTCTTTACTGTAACCACCTTGGAGATAAGAAAACTCAATGACACTCGAGTTAGTGACTTGTCCAATAGCACCTAAGAAACATGACCTAAAGTTCTTTTATCTTCAGACTTCTAGTTCCTATTTCTAAAAACACTGCTGTTCAATACCCAATTAAGCATGCTTTACTAAAATTCTAAGACCCTCAAACTTAGATGACCTTCATTTCGGTTAGCTGTGTATTCCTTTTGTTTATCTGTGATTCTCAAACATTGCATAAAAACTTAAAAATGATAATATCGTAAGTCAATTTAACAGACAAGTATACAATTTCTACTCTTTTAAGTTGAAACAGTAATTTTTTTGTTTTTTCGAGACAGGGTTTCTCTGTGGCTTTGGAGCCTGTCCTAGAACTAGCTCTTGTAGACTAGGCTGGCCTCAAACTCACAGAGATCAGCCTGCCTCTGCCTCCCAAGTGCTGGGATTAAAGGCGTGCGCCACCACCGCCTGGCGAAACAGTAAAATTTTACCTTCAAATTGACGTGTTTTTATCAGGCTACAAGTATATGCTTATCAGTATGTAAAACTACTTCATTATACATTTGTGCACACACTTATTTTCACATACTCCCCCATATCTTAACCATAATAAGTAATTATCAGCACCCAGGAAGAATTTCAACACTATTTACATATAAGTATTAGCTCAAGGCATACCTATTTTAAGAATTTCTTTTCTTAGAAAGTAAGGAATGCCTGACGATTACCAAGTGCTTTCATTTACAAAGTGACTCTTCAGGACACAAATATGATCTGTCCTAAGGTGGTCTGAAGCAACAAACATAATTTCATAAACTACAATTAAATTGTAAATAATATTAATCCTGTAATACTAGCTCAGTATTAAAAATTCTAAGCTGTGACTGTGAGGTATTTGGGAGCTCTAATAAACAAAAAAGAGTCATATGTGGGACAAGATATTAAACAAATCTTAAAACCTCCTTCAGAGGCTAAAAATAGTCACCAAGAAAGGTAGAAGGAAAGACATTCACATGAACTACTTAATTTGACATTCTCAAATTACACATCACCCCACTGTTTTGAAACTAGTGTGTGCTATCTAACAGTTTTTCATGAATAACTGGACTACAAAGATCCATTTCTGAAAGAACTATATCCTTCCAAATCAAGTCTGTAGCCATCACACCTTGAGACCAAATTTTCTGTTTGGTTTGGTTTGGGGGGACAGGGTCTCCCTATATAGTCTAGCCTACCCTCAGGTTCCACCTTCCTGCCTCAGCCTCCTGAGGACTGGCATCATCATACCCTGCCTGGCTTAGACAGCTTTTTACTGTTTGAAATTAATGGCAACATCAACTACACACTTAGCACTAAATCTCTAAGGAGCCCTAAAACAGATGGTTTGCAAAACTTTTATCATTTAGATACTGTCCCTCCACTTCATAAATTAAGACCCTGAGCCTACAGAAGTAATAAGTTAAGCTCCAAAGATAGTGCATGTGGAGTCCTGAGCTCAATTCTTAGCACTGTAAAAAATAAAAACAAAAACAAAGTGAAATAAGATATATGAAAGCACCTTGAGCCTTCTCTGTTGACAAGAGCAGCTGCTAAAATGGAAAATGAGTTATAAACACAAGAGACAGTGTTTATGGCAATGTATCAGGTTGCCCAGTTCCTTTATCAGATTAAATTTCAGTGCTAAAATCTGCATTAGAGAGAAGTTAAACTGCTGGCTAAATTTCTAGGACTCCAGTTAGAACTTTTAGAGCAACGGGCCTAAAATAGTCATTACTGTAACTTGAGTGAGTATATTAACTATACGCATAATTCATAATAAATATCTATTTTATATCAATTATTCATCTCCAGAATGTTTTATGTTAAAAAAATTAGTCTCTAGTCTCCCTGAAGAAGTTGTGCTTTTAAGATTTACCCTCTGAAATATTAGGGAGTCATTAAATTCATGCTTTCATATTCATAAGCAAAGAATCAATTCTTACAGATTCAGAAGTGTTTCTATCAAGTTATAATATCAATTAAAGAAGCTGGTTATTAGAAATGATATGCACGTACACCAGTTTTTAACAAATATGAAACACAAAAAGATTAAATCTTTTCTCCAGTATGAAGTTCACTTTTCTCTCACCACTGCTTTTGTACTTTCCATCCAGACAATTTAACTCCAATTCTGATTGCCCATCATTTACTGGGAAACAATGCGCAAATAAATCACGTAAATATCCCTATTTTTCAATTTCCTCATCTGCAAAAGAGAGATAGTTAGACTCCTCTTAAATGCAGAAAGACTTAAATAATGTCCTACACTATCTGCTCCAATCCCTGATAACATAGTAATTACTAAGAATAAATTGTTTCTCTGACTGTAGTCCCTGCCATTTTCTAATCCATCTCTACTTTCTTGTCAAGTAACGCCAGCATTTCTTTAATAAATCACTCACTTGCCATTAAATGAACCTCAGCAGCTTGTCCCCAACCTGTACCATCTCTTTCCAGCTCTGATATTACAATGGGACTTAGCATGTTTGACCATAGGGATTGAGTGTACCTACTTGTGTTTTAAGATTCACTTAGTTTTTCTTGTTTGAGCGTTTTGCTTGCATGTATATGTGCACCATGCCTTGTGCCCAGGGAAGTCAGAAGAGGATGTTACTAGGATATTAGATACCCCAGGGCTAGGGATGTTAGATATCCCAGAACTAGTGTGTTAGATACCCCAGAACTAGGGATGTTAGATACCCCAGAGCTAGAATGTTAGGTACCCCAGAACTAGGGTGTTAGATACCCCAGAACTAGGATGTTAGATACCCCAGAGCTAGGGTGTTAGATACCCCAGAGCTAGGGT